TGTATGTTTAAGTTGGTGAGAATGTAACGACCCGATCGGTCGTTTTGAGTATTATAACTTCGTTCCCCAATTTACTGCTCAATTTATGCCTTACAATTGATTTATGACTTATCGGGTAAGTTGGTTCAGATCCGGAAGGATTTTGGATTGAAATGAGACACTTAGTCTCATAATTGAAAACTTAAGTTGGAAAAGATGATCGGATATTGATTTATGTGTAAACGACCTCAGAATTTAATTCTGATGATTCCAATGGCTCCGTATGGTGATTTTGGACTTAGGAGCATGTCCAAAAAATTATTTGGAGATCCGTAATGGAATTAGACTTGAAATGCCAAAAGTTGAATTTTTTGAAAAGTTTGACCGGGGGGTTGACTTTTTGATATCGAGGTCGGAATCTGATTATGGAAATTAGAATAGCTTCGTTATGTCATTTATGACTTGTGTGCAAAATTTGAAGTCATTCCAAATTGATTTGATGTATTTCGGCACAAGATATAGAATTTGAAAGTTCAAAATTCATTAGGCTTGAATTGAGGTGTGATTCGTTGTTTTAGCGTTGTTTGATGTGATTCGAGGCTTCGACTAAGTTCGTATGATATTTTTGGACTTGTTGGTATATTTGGTTGAGGTTCCGAGGGGCTCAGGTGAGTTTCAGGGTGATTTCGGACCATTTCTAGGCCTTTTTTAATTGCTGATTTCTGCCTACAGAGGTGTGCATCGCGATCGCGAACATTTGGTCGCATTCGCGAAGAGCAAACAACAGTTTGGGCCTTGTGAATCGCGATCGCGGAAGCTCTTTCGTGATCGCGTAGAACACAATCTCTGCTGCACTGACCCAATTTTAGAAGCTTATATCTCGCAATCTATAAGGAATTTGGAGATGATTCAAAAATTATATCTCGCAATAATTATAGCGCTTGATGTCTACGTTTCATAAAAGTAAACCATTTGTCATTTGGAGTTGTGTACAAAATGTTATAGTGGATACACTATAGGTTGTCTGGGAAGAGTTTGAAAATCTCTGTTGTACAAGGCTGACTTTGGAAGCTTATATCTAGCAATCTATAATGAACTGGGAGATGAGCAACAAATAAAAATTATAGTCCTTGGTGTCTAGTATTCAGAAAGTTAAACCATGTGCAATTTGGAGTTTTGTACAAAGAGTTATGACCATTATACTAGAGGTTGTCTGGAAGAGTTAGGGAGTTTGTTCTTCGCGATCGCGAAGAGCAATTTTGGGGCTGAAAAGTTTTGTGCTTCGCGATCGCGAAGCATTTTCCACGATCGCTAAGAGTAAATATCTGGGTAGTAGCTATATTTCGAGGTTTCAGCTATTTTAAACATATTTGGAGCTATGGACTCGGATTGAAGTGATTTTTAAGGCGATTTTCATCACATGGATTGGGGTAAGTGTTCTATATCCTAAAGTGTTTATATTTCATGAATCTATGATTATATTCATCCTTTAATTCAGATTCTTATGGAAGAAATCAAGATTTTTGACAAAATCTTCTAAAAATAAAAATTTAAGATTTGGAGGTCGAATTGTTATCGGGATTTGATAAAATTGGTATGCATGGTTGAAATCGTATTGGAATGGGTGTTCGGATTTCATGAAAATTATGTCAGATTTCAAGAGTCGGACCCCGCATTGACTTTTGTTGACTTTTTGGAATAAATTTTTAAGTTGACGTATTATTATCCGGGATTGTTTTCGATGAATTTTAATGGGGTTTGTACAATTAATTTGGATAGATTTAATTGTATAGATTTGAGCTGTCCGGAGGTCTATTCAAGCAAGAAGGCTATTTTGGAATATCGACCTAATTTTAAAAAGGTAAGTATCTTGCCTAACCTTGAGTGGGAGAATTATCCCTTAGGCATGGAGTCTTATGTGAAAATTATGTAATTGAAACCATGTACACGAGGTGACGAGTATGTACTTGGTTTATATATCGCTAATTATATTGGTTGAAATTTGTAGACGCCCTTATATATTAAATTGAAAAATTATTGGAACATAGTAAATCCTTTATTTGTCATGCATAAATCCTTGTTTGTTGAATTCTTTTTTATATGATAATTTGGTGTGATTGCCACTTTGATTTTTATGTGAATCCCGTATTTTTATTGAGTTGATATTTCCTGGAGATAATTTTTTTATAGAATATTCATTTGCAAATAATTTATTATGTAAGTTTAAAAGGAGCCATTAATCTATTTGCCAAAATTTGGATTTAAGAAGGCGTTGTTCCTTGATGAATTATTTTTCAGTTAATGTTGTTGCAATCGGTATTGAGTTATAAAGACCGTAAATGATATTTGAGGCAAAGTGTTAAATTGTAAAATATTATTTTGTTGAGTTGTTCGCTCCCAGATATTTTTGTTAAGATTTTTGTGCACATTATGGTAGAGCCATGGGCTCCTTATTGTGAAAAATGATGTATTGTTGATTTCTGTGGCAAGTTAAAATATTTGAGCACTTGAGGTGCAATTTGCTATATGTTTTGATATTAGAGCACTCGATGTGCAATTTGTGATATGCTGTAATATTTGAGCACTTGAGGTGCAATTTGCTATATGTTTTGATATTAGAGCACTCGATGTGCAATTTGTGATATGCTGTAATATTTGAGCACTTGAGGTGCAATTTGCTATATGTTTTGATATTAGAGCACTCGATGTGCAATTTGTGATATGCTGTAATATTTGAGCACTTGAGGTGCAATTTATGAGATGTTGTAATATTGGCACTTGATATTGTTGGGAGGATTGTTCGGGTGTTTGCACGAGGTTTCTGTCGTGCTATTGTTACTATTGATATATGAACATGCGGCGTGAAAAAGCGGGCTATATATGTGGGTTTGCGCATGTGGCGAGACAAGGTGGAAATATTATTATGTGCGTGCGGCGAGACAAGGCTGACATTTACTTTATTATTGCATACGCGACGAGACAAGGTGGGCTATGTCGGGAATTGATTTGTGATGACTTATGATGGCCTGGAGGCATTGTTGTTGTTGAAAATTATTTATGATTTGGGACTACGAGGCGGTACCTCGGAAGTGCCCTTTGTTGATATTTTTCTATGGTTGCACTTGCCTTTGGTTATGTTGTTTTTTCGTGATATGTAAATTCTTGTGTTCTTGCGTGATTTATTATTTGATTTTATTATGTGTTTTGTATTCCTTGTTGTATTGTGTTGGCTTTGGCTCTTTGTACAAGACTCTGAGGATTTGTGTTTATGGTTTTTACTATTTTCTTTTAGATTTGAGTTGTTTCGAATAAAAGAAATTGCTATTATGTTTTAATTTAATAAATTTTACATCCAAATTAGTAGTCATCGGATGCTTCATTTTAATTGGAATGTCATTTTCTTCTTCCAAACGAGTTCAAAAAAATAAACTCATTTCTTTGATGATTTCTTACTTGGTTTAAAAATTTTAAACTTACTTTATTGAATATAAATTGATCCCACGGATATTATATACATTGATATTTTGGTACGTGGGTTTTCCGTGCGATTACGAAAAATAATATGGGCATGAGGTGCCAGAAAAAATATAATAATTTTATTATTGACATGTGAGTTATCCGTGTGGTTGTGATAGAAATATGGGCACGAGGTGTCGTGAAAAATATAAAAGTGGGTTGAGACCCGTAATTTTTATGATTGTGATATGAGGTGTCACATGGTGGCTTTTACTTGAAAATATATTTATTGGAAAGTATTATACCGTGAAGATTATTATTTGAAAAACATATAGGCGAAAGAATTTATATTTGAAGGACTTGATTAATTGGTTATACGTGTGTTCCTTATTCGTCTTAGCAATAATTATGATGTTCTTGTTGCATTGCTATTATATCACTGGTTGATTTTGTTGTTATTATTGCTAGTTATTTTTCAGTACTATTGTATACTGCTATATTACACATATTATTTGACTAGTGAGTGTCTTGACTGTACCTCGTCACTACTCCACCGAGGTTAGTCTTGATACTTATTGGGTACCGACTGTGGTGTACTCATACTAAACTTCTGCACATTTTTGTGCAGAGCCAAGTATTGGAGATATCGGACTCAGGCAGAGTTAGTGTGTTGATCGCAAGGATTCAAAGAGCTGCTTGGTCGTCGTAGTCCTTTGGAGTCTTTTCATTTTATTGTACTGTCAACTCTTATTCGGACAATATTGTATATTCGATCTTTGAGATCATTTCATGTATTCAGTTAGAGTTCTTGAGTCAGTATTACTAGTCTTGGGAAGGTGTTATAATTATTTCCGCTGTTGGTTTCGATTATTAAAAAATGGCTTGAATTATAATTGTAATTGGCTTACCTAGTCTTAAAGACTAAGTGCCATCACGATGCCTGTGGTGGGATTTTAGGTCATGACACTTCAATAATAATTTTAATAGATATTTTTTTTTAGGATTTATTTTTTAACTTTTTGAGATGCAAAATTATTAATTAGTTTTCTATAATCGATTTCTTCTAATAGGTTAGTGACTTGTTCATCTAAAAAACACTCCCCTATAGTTTCTAATTTAGTGTATCTATTGTTAGCGAAAAATTTATCAAGATCTCCTTTTTGAGATTGTATATTTCAACTCTTCTCTTTTCTTTTTTTTTTTGGAATAACAAGATTTATATTTTCTAGTTAGCATATTCAAATTCTAATAAATATATTAAAAATATACCTATGAAGTAAAAATAACAAATATAACAAATTTAAGATAAAAAGATAAAAAGATATTAAAAAGTTAGAATAAAAGAATTAGATTTAAGAAGTTTGAAGACTTAATTCTAAATTTCGTAATGCTGCCTCAAATATTTTTCGCAAGCTTTAAACGTGATAATTGAGAAAAAACAGAAAATGAGACACATCTTGTAGACCAGGATTCTTCGTATCTTTGGTCTACACAATAATGTACATTTTACCTCATACCTCCAAGTAGTACCCTTCCCTTCAATTATTTATGCATACAAATCTTACTATAAATAGAACCCAAGATTACATCAGTTTCTTCATCCCTTAATTTCATAAGTATCATAACTAAGCTTTGAACATAAAAGAAAACATGGGTTCTAAGGCATTTCTGTTTCTTGGCCTTTGTTTGGCTATTTATTTCCTGATAAGCTCCGAGGTTGTAGCTGCGGAGTTGGCTGAGATTTCCAACTGTAAGCTTACTTTCATTTTACTCTGAAAAAATGAAAATCTCTTCTCTCATTATTTGGTATAGGATTTAACTAATTATATATGCTGAAACTTTAAAAAATTTGTACGCCATTAGTATATTTTAACATGTTGTAACATTGAACATTATTTAACCTTTCAAATTAGTGTTTATCAGCTAGTAAAGCTTAATTTGATTTCCACATAGAGCTAGTAGTTGAGTTACACTTTTGGATTTACTAATTAACGCTATAGCTTGATCATAACTCTTACTATATACTCTCTCTATTTTATTTTATGTGTCTTAATTTGACCGGATACGAAGTCTAATTAAGAATATAAGTAAAACTTCTGAATCTTGAGATCTTAAACTAAAGTTTTATAAAAATATACTTAGAATATCATTTGAATCTTGTAGTATTAAACATGTCTAAATTAAGAAGAGTCATAATGGGTAAAAATGAGAATGGTGGAACTTAAAACTTATTTATTGAGTAAATATAGAAAGAGGTATTTGAAAATGTTTGGACATGACTATAATTTGGAGCCGTTTTTTAATTTTTGTGAGTGATTTGATGTGAAAATTTTGAAAAATAACTTTTTGGAGTTTTTCAAATTCTGAAAAATTATGAAATTCAATTCAAGTGAAATTTGAAATTTTCATGGTCAAACACCAATTTCGAAAAAAAAAAAAAAAAATTGTTTATGGCCAAACGGACCATGTTTTAATTTTCACAATTGACGCAGCAATGAAATTGGATAACGAGAATGAAGTACACGTTGGCGGACGTGGCGGATACAATGGCGTTGGTGGTGATGGACATCATGGTGGTGGTCGCGGCCGTGTTGTTCGTCGTCGTCGTCGTCATCGTTATATAATTAGGAGATGCCGCTATGGTTGCTGCAAGAAAGGTTACAATGGTTGCAAAAGGTGTTGTTCCTACGCAGGTGAGGCCACGGATAAAGTCATTGAAGCCCTGCCTCACAACTGATCATTATATGTAAAGAGTTTAAGTTATACATACTGTTAATACGTATAATTTTTGTATATACTATGTAGTGAGATGTAATAATCTTGCTACTGTAGACCTTGCTTGTAAGTTGTAACCAGTATGAATAAAGCCATTCGGTTCTTACGGATGGTTGGTCATGTAATGTTTTGTACAATATATTGTGATAATATGTTTCCATATTGTTTATTTTCTTATTTTAGAGTAAAGATTTTTCTTCTATTTTATGAATCCTACAATTCTCTTTTAATCCATGCCCGCGAATTCTTTTTTAACAAATAATTAAAAAATCCTTGTTAGGATTATCTAACATATCAAACAAAAAACTATTTATTTAAATTTTTTGGCAATTTAGATCGAATCAGCTCAACTTTTAGACGGGCTAATTTGCTATTATGCCCGGCCCAAACCTGCTTGCTTGCCATAGCTTTATGGGCTAATTTTGGGAAAACTTACACAAATGTCCCAAATAAGTCTCAACTTACTAACCTGTAGCCATTAATCATAGACTTACCAAAACTAGCCAAACACAAATAAAAATTGAAAAATCAAATAAATAATGTCTTTCTCTCAAAGAATCACGTTCAAAAATCTTCTTCCATATTTTAAGCGTGATTAGCAACATTAGATGCAAGACAGAACGGAAATTTCATGGATGAGGTAGCAAATAAGATAATGAAATACGAAAAACAAAATATAATATTCAAAAAATCTAAGCAAACAAGGAACTTTTTCAATGGGTATAATTGATTTTCATTGAAAACATATAGTAAGTCAATATACAAAATATGAGGAAGATTTGAGGTGATTTTGACTAGTTTTGTATCAAAATTCCCAATTAAATCGAGTTCAAAAAATTCTTCTACGACACATGTATCACGCATGTATCTCATACATAGGTATACATGAATATACATGTGATACACAATTGATATAAATATGATACATATGTGATACACAAATGATACAAATTGTGATACACATATCATTTTTTTTCATGTTCAGTTTTTACTTCGAATTTTCAATTCAAACCACCTCAAATCTCCAACCAAATCATCCCAAAACTGAGATTCAAACTCCTTAAGATGTATCCAATCTATTTTAATAACACCCACTCAAAAGAAAGCAAACAATTTGACCTCTTTTTGTTACAAATAGCTAATTGGCTAACATTAATAATATTTGGCTAATATTAGTAGGAGTAATATTTTATGAATTGGCCAATTTTTATAATTAGCTACTTATAAATGAAATAGCTGATAGTTTCTCCTAATTTTGTCACTCATAATGTTATCTTGAAGTACTTAAATAGTTTTCAAAGTGGATGGTATTAATTAATCTTTATTCCAGTTTGCCCCATTAAAGATTGCTCATGTTTTCTAGCGAACGTTTCTTCTCCAAACTTGCATCTAATTTATTGCTCTAATCTAATTATGCCCTTTCACGTAAAAACGATCAATACAATGACAGTCTTTCAGAATTCTTAACAATTTTTTCCACAATATTAAGAATGGAAATAATTTTGTCAAAAAAAAAATTATTGTTTCATTTTCTTAGGGGCATAAACAAGTCTTCCAACATAAAATTCCGAAAATAATTTAATATGTTTAGTTTGTTAATAAGATAAAATAATCTCTGTAGAATTAGTGTAGCGTGCAATTGGAAATATTTAATTTTGCATCTAACAATATTTAGTTGACTGTATTGAATTCAATATTAATTGCTTAATTTTGCAAAAGTTGTGCAAAAATCTATGTACTTATTATTTTATGATGGATAAATGACGAATAAGAATATATGCATCAGTAAAAGACGAAAAAAGTATGAAAAGACAAATTGTTAGTCTAATTCCAACACATAACATTAAAGAAATCTTACATAAATGTCCCAAGTAAGTTCCAACTTTCCAACCTCTAGCCATTAATCATATACTTATCAAAATTAGTCGATCACGTATAAAAATTAAAAACCCAAATAAATAGGGTTTAGGCACGTATGATTTTTTCTCTCTAATAATCACACGCAAAGATCTCCTTGCAAGACAGAAAGAAAATTTCATGTATGCGGTAGTGATAAAATACAAAAAAAAGAATATACAAGATTTCAAAAATCTAAGCAAGAAAGGACATGAGTCAATATACAAATTTTGAGAAAGTTTGGAGGTGATTTGAACTGATTTGGTATCAAAATTAGTAGTTAAAATCGAGCTCAAAAAATTCTTCTGCGACACATGTATCACACACACAACTACACAAGTATACATGTTGTAATGACCCAAACGGTCATTTTGACTTTTAGAACCCCGTTTCCTAAAATAAAACTTTTCGTATGTGCTTTTAATGATTTATGACTTGCGGGGATGGTTGGTTCGGGATTTGAAAGTGTTTGGGTTAAAATCGGAACACTTGGTTCCTTATGTTGGCTTTAAAAGGCCAAGATTGACTTCGGTCAATATTTTTGAGAAAACGATCCCGGAATAGAATTTTGACGATTCCAACAGCTCCGTATGATTATTTTGGACTTGGGAGCATGTTCGGAATTTTATTTGAAAGTCCATAGTTAAATTAGGCTTGAAATGACTAAAATGGGAATTTAAGTTTGGAAGTTTGACCGGGGAGTTGACTTTTTGATATCGGGGTCGGAATCCAATTTTGAAAATTTACATTACTTTGTTATGTAATTTGTGACTTGTGTGCAAAATTTGAGGTCAATCGGACTTGATTTGATAGGTTCCGGTACCGAATGTAGAAGTTGGAAATCTTAAGTTTCATTAAGCTTGAATTGGAGGATGATTCGTAATTTTAGCATTGTTTGGTGTGATTTGAGGTTCCGACTAAGTTCGTATGATGTTTTAGGACTTGTTGGTATAATTGAGTGAGGTCCCGAGGGGCTCGGATGAGTTTCGGACGGCTAACGGCTCATTTTTGGCTTTGGGAACATTGCTGATAGCTGCTGGAAATTTTCTTCTGATTTCCTTATACGCGATCGCGTGGATTGGGTTGCGATCGCATAGGCTTAATTGGGCAGCTGAGAATTTGTTCTATGCGATCGAGTGGGCAAGTCCGCGATCGCGTAGGTTGGATTCAGTTGTGCTATGCGAATGCGTGGCTAAGGCCGCGTTCATGAAGAGGAAACGAAGCAAAAGCTGACCACGCACTTAATGCTTCGCGATCGTGTGAGCAGACTCGTGATCGCGTAGGCTTGTGGAGACTGTGCTTCGCGATCGCGTGGGATTTTTCGCGATCATGTAGAGTTATTTTCTGGGCAGAAAAATTTGTGCTACGCGATCGCGTGAGGAAGTTCGCGATCACGTAGAAGAAATTACTGGGCAGAGAGTTTAAGTTCTGAAAATGGGACTTCGTCCCATTTTTCATTTTTAATGATTTGGAGCTCGGATTTAGGCTATTTTTCGGAGATTTTCAGAGAACACAACGGGGTAAGTATTCTTAACTCAATATTGGTTAAATTACCCGAATTCATCACTATTTTTATCATTTAATTGGTGAATTGAGTTGGAAAAGTTTGAAAACCCTCTTGGATAGATTTGAGGATTTGAGGACCGAATTGTTATCGGAATTTAGTGATTTTGGTATGGTTAGACTCGTGGTTGAGTGGGCGTTCATATTTCGTAACTTTCGCCGGATTGCGAGACGTGGGCCCCTCAAACGAATTTTTATTTAATATCATAATTTTTATTAGAAATGTAGTATTTTCTTATAGAATTGATTTCTATAATTTTTAGTGATTGTATCAAATTATTTTGGCTAGATTCGAGCCAAATAGAGTTGGATAATCGTGGAAAAGGCCTTCTAGTGGATTAAATTGGAGCAAGATGAGGTAAGTCTCTTGTCTAATCTTGTGAGGGAGAAATTACCTCATAGGTGATTAAAATTAAATAATTGTTGCTAATTGTAGGGGCTACGTACGCACGAGGTGACGAGAGTCCGTGCGTAGCTACAATTAGTGCTAAAGTTCGGGTAGTTTAGGACTCAAAANTGTGGAGCGGGCCGAACGCCTCGGCAGGATAGATGCATCTATGGATCTTGCCGCACGTCCCTCGGCAGTGTACATGAAACTCTGGATTGGGCCGTACGACCTTGGCAGAAATCGTGCTTAATAATAATAATTACATGATACTTTGATAGTTTATTGCAGCTTGTGAAGCTAATTGATAAATTGGAAATCTTTGAAATTTAATGAATTATTATTCCTGCTTGTTAAGAAATTATTGTTATTCCTGTAAATGAGACTAATTGATAAATTTGGAAATTTATTAAAATTGAAGGAATTTAATTATTTCTGCTGGTTAAATAAATTATTGTTATATTCTGTGAATCATGTTAATATAGATATTCTAGTTTTATTTCAAATTATTATTATTGACTCATACTGAGTGTCAAAGTCGGCCATCTCGTCTCTACCACTTCGAGATTTGGCTTGATACTTACTGGGTACACGTTGTTTACGTACTTATACTACACTTGTTGTACTTTTTGTGCAGGACCTGAGGCAAGTACTAGTGGGGGACCTATCATCTTACACCCACGTTATCCAGGGGCATAGTGGTGAACTGCGTTTCTGAACCGTTCTGTTGCTACCAGTGTCTCTCTTTGTATTTTTTATTCTGTCTATTTTTATTTCAGACAGTATTAGTGGTTTTGTCTAATCTACTAGATGCTCATACACTTGTGACACCAGGTCTTGGCACACGCATTGGTAGAATTTGGTGTCTTATTATTTTTCTTGGATTTAGATTTTTTTTGATATATGTTTAATTTATTAGTTGGCTTGCCTAGTTATAGTGTTGGGCGCCATCACACCCTATAGGTGAAATTGGGTCGTGACAACATGGTATCAGAGCATTAGGTTCACCTAGGTCTTACAAGTTATGAGTAGACCTAATAGAGTCTTGCGGATCGGTACAGAGACGTCTGTACTTATCTTCGAGAGGCTATAGGGTGTTAGAAAATTACCTTTCTTCATATTCCATCGTGCAATTGGTGTAGTTCTAAATATCCTTGTTTTATTCTCTCACAGATGGTGAGAACGCGTTCTAATGAGGTTTCAGACCAGGGAAGAGCTACTCCCCCAGTTGCTAGAGGCTGAGGGAGGGCTCCAGTCCGTGGTAGAGGGCGAGGATGTCCCAAGATTGTTCCAGTTATGCCGCCAGTGGGTCCAGCTGAGAACCCCATTGTTG